CATTCTAATTTGGCTACCGCCTCATTACTACGGTTTCCTCTAATTTTTTTTCCTTTTATTCATTTTTCTTTAACAACAGCCTCCTTCCTACTACCTCTTCTAATTTTTTCTTTCTTTCTTTTCACTCATTCATTCATTCACTCTCTTTTGGCTACCACCTCCTTCCAACTGGCTCCTTTAATTCTTTCTTTCTTTTTTCATTCATTCATTAATTCATTCATCTTTGGTTACCACCTCCTTTCTACCGTTTTATCTAATTTCTTTCTTTCTTTCTTTCTTTCTTTCTTTCTTTCTTTCTACTGTTTCTTCTAATGTTTCTTACTTTTTCTCTTTTGCTGTAGCCTTCTCTATACTGGCTTCTTTAATTTTTTTTCTCTGCCTGTCGGCCCCCCCAAAAACCTTCCTCTCTCTCTCTCTCTCTCTCTCTCTCTCTCTCTCTCTCTCTCTCTCTGTGTGTGTGTCTGTGTGTGTGTGTGTGTTCCACCTTTTTTTTTCATTCTTTTTATTTTTCGTCTATACTTACCTTAATAGAACACATTGCGCACCCGGCAAGGTTCAGTTTCAAAATTATCCATGGTGAGGGTCCAAATTATTTATTTTTATACTATTATTCTTATTCACTCAATACACGGTCCCCAAAACCTGAATGATTGTTGTTATAAGGGCTTGAAGGGAAAAGGAAGAGTTGCATATTAATTATGAGGATATGTAGGATGGATAACGGTTGACCTTGGACTTGAGGAGGTTAAGATCTTCCACAAATTGACAATTCTGGGTGGGGGGGAATTTTCTGAACGAAATTTCCTACTCATCAAAGGACTACGAAGGGAATGGTTATGCGTTGTTGCCATTTATGTGGCAAGTAAGTCCTAGCTGTGAAGGTCTGAACTGGTGGAATTAGTTATTTACTATTTTTTACCTTAGACTGGCACAAATTCATGATTATTGGACTGCCTGTATAGTTCGTAGTCACGGTAAAAATGATAATCAGCGAGGCTAGCTGATTATGTATTGCTCCATGACGAGATGACCAGTTATTTATCTTAAATTTGGTAAATAAAATTGGATTACTCAGTGCTGAATGAAATGGACTGCAAAACAATCTCACTAACCATTGCGCTATGTTGGCTTTTATTTCTACCTTTTATTTATTATTCTACGTGTCGCATCTCTTCAGGATATAGACGATCATGGCTCTCCACAACAACCTATCCATCATGGTCCTTAGCAGTTTTTTCTCCCTTTGCTAAGGCTCTCACACCCTGTTTTGTCATCCATTCAATCAAACTGGTCAGTCATGTTGCTCACTGCCTGCCCTTATTTCTTTTGCCCTCAATATGTTCCCTGAGTGTTAAATTTTCCGAGCCCTCCTTCCTCATTATGTGCAGAGAATTTCAACTCTCTTTTTTTCTGCTTCTGAATATTATTGGCATTTTGTTTAAGACTTGCTTGATGATTACTCGCCTCATCCATGGAATTTTCAGTATCCATCTGTCCCTGAAATTTTGAACAGGAGTAGAGGTTTATCCTTTGTTTCCTGTTGTTGGGCTTCTGGTTCATTCTAAGATCTACTTCAACTCTATACTGCTAATGTCGCCGCCTAAAACTCTGAACTTTTATTGAATAATGATTTACTGTTTTTTCTTTTCTCAATAAGAGTAGATAGGTTGGCTTATCGTCCAGTTCTCACTCCTCCTCAATCTTCTAGACAAGAGTTAGAGGTTTCTCTCTTGTTTCCCGTGTAGGGTTGGGCTTTCCTGTTCATTCTAAAGCCCTTTCCTTCTCTTTCAATTCCAGTGGCTCCTTGTGTCTTGGTGGCATTATCTCCTTGTTTGGGGTGATGTTTCTTTGTAACCGCTCTACCTTGATTGGCTCTTGACCTTTTACAAGCTGAGCATCATAAAAAGGACCCCCAGTTTTCTCCACATCCGTGGTGAGATTATTTAGCATTCACTGCCATATAAAAGGATAGATAACACATAGATTCATTTATTATGGGCACTCGACGTGGTGTAATGGTTAACAAGCTTGTCTTACTAAATCAGTTACGACCGAATAGGGATTTCGATTCTCGCTGGTTGTCCAATACATTCGGTGCCACATCTACACTACATTTATAAAATCACCATAGATTTATTTAGTAGCTTTTTTTTATCATGATGAAATATTTTCTTAAATTTGATTTTTACTGTTGCTTTTAATAATATTTTAATATATTGATAATGTTTTAATAATATTTTAATAATATTTTAATAACATTTTAATATTTTAATGATATTTTACTAATATCTTTGCTTAACATTAACTACTCTCTGTTTCTTTCTTTCTTTTCCTTCCTCCTTTCTGTCTTTTTTCTTTCTTCCTTCCTATTTTCGCGTTTTCTTTCTTTCTTTACTTCTTTTTTCTCTTTCCCTTTATTTTCCTTTTTCTCTCTTTTTTTATCTTTATTTTTATTCTTTTTTTCTTCCTCTCTCTTTATACTTACTTTTGTTTCTTTTTCGTATTTTCTCATTTCTTTCTCTCTTTATTTCTTTCCTATTTGTTACTTTCTGTCTTTTTTTCTTCCTGTCCTTTTCTTCTTTCTTTTCTTTCTTTCTTATGTTCTTCTTTCTTTCCTTTTGCTTCCTTCTTCCTTTTTTCTTCTTCTTTCTTCCCTTTTACTTTTTTCTCTCTCTTTATTTTTTTCTTATTCTCGTCCTGTATCTTTCTTTTTTTTTCTTTCTTTCTTTCTTTCTTTCTTTCTTTCTTTCTTTCTTTCTGTCTATCATTTTTCTTCCTTCTTTCCCTTTTCTTTCTTTCTTCCGTTCTCCTTTCTTTCTTTTTGCTTCTCTCTTCCTTTTTTTTTCTTCTTTCTTCCCTTTTACTTTTTTTCTCTCTCTTTTTTTTTCTTATTCTCGTCCTGTATCTTTCTTTTTTTTTCTTTCTTTCTTTTCTTTCTTTCTTTTCTTTCTTTCTGTCTATCATTTTTCTTCCTTCTTTCCCTTTTCTTTCTTTCTTCCGTTCTCCTTTCTTTCTTTTTGCTTCTCTCTTCCTTTTTTCTTCTTCTTTCTTCCCTTTTACTTTTTTCTCTCTCTTTATTTTTTCTTATTCTCGTCCTGTATCTTTCTTTTTTTTTCTTTCTTTCTTTCTTTCTTTCTTTCTGTCTATCATTTTTCTTCCTTCTTTCCCTTTTCTTTCTTTCTTCCGTTCTCTTTTCTTTCTTTTTGCTTCTCTCTTCCTTTTTGCTTCTCTCTTCCTTTTTTCTTCTTCTTTCTTCCCTTTTACTTTTTTCTCTCTCTTTATTTTTTCTTATTCTCGTCCTGTATCTTTCTTTTTTTTTCTTTCTTTTTTTTCTTTCTTTCTTTCTTTCTTTCTTTCTTTCTTTCTGTCTATCATTTTTCTTCCTTCTTTCCCTTTTCTTTCTTTCTACCGTTCTCCTTTCTTTCTTTTTGCTTCTCTCTTCCTTTCTTTTTCTTCCTCCTTTCTTTCCTTTTTCTTTCTTTCGATACGTCTTACTTTTTTTCCTTATTTTTCTTCTTTTTTTTCCTTCCTGCATCTTTCTTTTGTCTTCCTTCTTTCTTTATTTCCAATTCTATTTTTCCTTTTGGTTATCTTTCTGTTTTTGCTTTGATTCTTTGAGAATTTTCCTTCAATTAATTCCAGTTCATATTTTCTCAATCAACTTCCACAAAACGTAAGAACAAAGAAAACGTTTTTCTACAAATGATAAAATTTAAAAAAGCAACCAAAGAAACAAACAGAAAAAAAAAATCTGTAGCTGTTTTTCGTAAGAACTACTTTGCACCGAATGACCTGGAGCAGACGACATGCAAAGAAGCTGTATGAGGAGGCCGCGGAGATTGTGCGTCTGAGGAGACGAAAAGGAATAAGGAAAGTAGCGGGGGAATTCCGTTAGTGGAAAAAGAAAAGAAAAAAAAGAAAAGAAAAATAAAACTTATCAATCAGATCGAGGCTCTTTTACACTTCAATCAACATTTTGTAAGCTTTTTATCTGTTTTGTTTTTTTGTCTGTTCCTTTTTTATACATTCTGTTATATTTGTTCGCATCTTCGTTTCAAATGAACGACGCTTCAGCATTAGGTCAGTTACCAGGTGTGTATGCCTTGGGTTATCGCGTGCAATTGCAAGTCATAAACAGAATAAACAACTTTAAATTGCATTGATTTTGTAATATTCCAGCTAAAATCGGAGTCGTGTAACATCGTCGATGTCAATATTTGGGTTTTGCATGCGATCTATAAACTCTCTAAAGGCTTCTATCGTTTTAATCAACGTAAAACACTCGCGCATATAATTTTATTGTCCTCACCTGTGTGTAAGTCAGAGAACGTGAAGACGTGTGTTCTATAGCAAATACTTTTACTTGACGTTCGTATCTGGAAAACTTTCTATCAACATCTTTTGACCAGTATTAAAAATATATTAGAAGCAAGTTTGATGTTTATCCATAGATAGATAGATAGATAGATAGATAGATAGATAGATAGATAGATAGTGGTCGGCTACTCATTTCTGTGCATACCTGACGACTAGACAATCCCAGTTTCAGGCGCCTGCTCAGACACATTTGGGCTTGCCCAACACCAACAGCATCCACCTATGCTGAGTAGAACTTAGTTACAGTTCCTGGGAGATAACGCATTAATCAATTATTTTCTTAAAACATTCGAAAGGACGAGTCGTCGTCTCTCCTTGAATTCGAAACACCATAAATCATAATAACGTTGATTCAAAAAGTCGAATGCACATAAAACATGATTAAACAATAAAAATCAAACACAAAAGTAAAAATACCAGAATTTCTTTCTTCTTTTTCTCCATATGTCAGTCTCTAATTAAGTTATAAATAAAATAAAATAAAATAAAATTAATTAAAATAAAATAAAATAATTAAAATAAAATGAATTAAAATAAAATAAAATAAAATGAATTAAAGTAAAATTAATTAAAATAAAATAAAATATATAAAATAAAATTAATTAAAATAAAATAAAATTAAT